TGTGTCTGATGTTTGTTCTGGCCACGGCACAGCCCCTACCCCCGTTGCCTGCGCGCACAATAATGCCAGTGTGGACCGCAATGCCAGACACCACAACGCCTGTGTGCACCACAACAGACGCCGCAGCTGGCGTGTGCGCTATGCACGCCGAGATGGTTGTCTCTTCAGATGTGAGTGCGCCGCCGCGCCTGTGTGGGTGCCACAACAGACCACGCGCCTCTACACACCACAAGCACATGCCAGCGCAAAAAGGAAAACGTTGCGTGCACTACGAACAGCACACCTGTGCGCTAAGCAACAGGCGCTGCTGCAACGGGGTTGGGTTGGGCGGCGGGCGTTACATTATCCACCGGTGGTTGGGTGGGTTGGAGGCCACATAACGTGCGTTATGTGTTCGAGTTCAAAAACTTCAGCACAAGAGCACCCGTCGCGAGGCCCAGAGGACCCAGTCGGTCGGAGTTGGGACGAGGATCAAAATCCGTTCTAGAGCGTTCCTGATTTCGATGGCCCTGGGCCATTGGCCGCGGAGGGGGGAAGAGCGGGGAGGGCGGACCCCGCTTGTGTGCATCCGGCAGAGGGCAGAGACCACGGGGCCGAGTTCTCGAGGGCGATGCCGCACCGACTAACGGTTTATGCAGCTGCCTCGGCAAGTCCCGCCACTGCGCCAGCTGGGCATTCTGAGTAGCCGCTGTTCGAGCGTGAGAGAGCCGTGATGCTGATGATGATGTTGATGATGATGATGATGATGATGATGATGATGATGTGGATAATGATGATGTTGATGATGATGATGATGTTGATGATGCTGATGATGATAATGGTACTGATGATGCTGGTACTGATGATGGTGGCGGTGGTGGTGCTGATGATGATGATGCCGATGATGATGATGATGATGATGATGATGATGATGGTGCTGATGATGATGGTGCTGACGATGGTGATCATGAGTATGATGATCATGATCATGGTGCTGGCAATGATGCTGATGATGGTGATTGTGATTATGATGGTGATGATGCTGATGATGGCGGTGGCGATGATGATGATGCTGATGATGATGATTTTAATGGTGATGGTGGTGGTGGCAATGATGATGCTGATGCTGATGCTGATGATGATGACGATGATGATGGTACTGATGATGGTGATGGTGGTGCTGATGATGACGGTGTTTATGATGCCGATACTGATGATACTGGTGGTGGCGATGAGAAGATGCCGATGATGATGTTGATGATGATGACGGTGATGGTGATGATGCTGATGATGATGGTGGCGATGATGATGCTGCTGATGATGAAGATGATGCTGATGATGACAATGATGAGGATGATGATGAGGATGACGATGTTGATGGTAATGATGATGGTGCTACTGATGCTGGTGTCGGTGGCTATGATGATGCTGATGATGAAGATGATGGTGATGATGCTGGTGGTGGTGGCGGTGATGATGGTGATGATGATGGTACTGGCGATGTTGGTGGTGGTGATGCTGCTGATACTGCTGCTGATGCTGATGATGATGATGACGACGATGATGATGATGCTGCTGATAATGACGATGCTGATTGTACTGATGGTGGTGTGTGGTGGGGCTGATGATGATAACGATGATGATGCTGATGATGACGGTACTTATGATGATTGTGGTGGTGGTGGTGGTATTGATGATGACGACGATGATGTTGGTATTGATGACGATGTTGATGATGATGTTGGTGGTGGTGGCGATGCTGACGATGATGATGTTGATGATGATGATGCTGATGCTGATGCTCATGCTGATGCTGCTGATGATGATGATGGTACTGGTGATGGTGGTGGTGGCGACGATGATGGTACTGATGATGGTGGTGGTCGCGATGCTGATAATGGCGATGACGATGATGCCGATGATGATGGTGGTGGCGATGCTGATGATGATGATGATGATGATCATGATGGTGGGGATGAATATGATGACGATGATGATGATGATGATGATGATGATGATGAACATGCTGATTATGAAAGTTCTTAGACCACTTCTGGCCGAGACCGTCTTGTTTTAGCACTTCGGTGCATGCTCTAAGAACACCTGTGATTGTTATTAGAACATGTTCGGCGTCACCCCACCATACCACTACTATATGTGCATCGCCCCCCCCCCCCTCCAGGGGCGACGCGCGCACCGAGAAATCTTGCCGTATATGCGTCGTGGCGGGCGCTTTCTGCCCACACCGCTCGGGAAACGATGTACCACAAGATGGGTATACTGTATGTTCGGGTCGGACGCGCGCCTCCAAGGAGAACATGTAGCACTAGTATGTCTCTGTGCGCCCCAGAGCGTGGCGAAGCGTCCCGGCCCGCCTATAGGCCCGCCAGAGAGTGTTCTGAGACCTTTTTGTTTGTGGTCTGCGCGAGATGTTCTCAGAACATGTCTGGCCCAGACCGTCTCGTTTTAGCTTCTCGGGTTGATGTGCCAAGAACCTTGTGGTCGTTCTTGCCGAGGCTCGAGGGGAGTTCCTCGGTCGTTGTCCGCCTCCGCCCTGCTCTGCACGGACGCCGGCCGAGGTACTGCTTGGAGGCCGCCTGCGTCTCCTCAGACGGAGCGAGGGCCCCCGGGGCGAGATCCGGGAGCAGCCTTCAGCCAGAACGGCCGGCTCGACGAGCAACTCCGAGTCCCGCACGGCGAGCTCCGCGGCCCACCCACTGCTTTCGTTCTCGGAACCTTGTTGGGTTCTGAGAGCATGTCGTTGTAGGCTTACGTCGGGCCTCTCCCTCTACAGGAGAACTACTTGAACGTAGTAACAAAAATAGTCTGGGGACGACTTGTTGATTATTGTTGGACTATTTGGGGGTATTTTTTGAGTATTTCTAATTTTTCGCCCGCCTGTAGGGGGACACGCCCGACCTGATGGTAGGCCTGTGGGCATGCCCGGACGGCCAGTCCCTGCGCAGCGCAGGGGAGGCGCAGGCGCGCCATCTCACCGCCTCGGCGCCCCGAGGGAGCGGTTGCCCCCCGCGGCGGTGGCCGGCTCGCGGCCAGTAGCTTGCGAGTGCAGGTGGCCTTGAATGGGCAGGACTAGGTCGGGCATGTCTCTCTATCAGGGGCGGCAAAAAGGGGGGTGGTGACCAGGGGGAGGGGGATATCATGGCGGGGCCATGATGTCTCCCCAGATTTCATGGCCCCTCTTCTCATTTCAATGCGTTCCCTGGCCCCCCCCCTGGTCCGCGCACATGTCTCGGGCCATGATTTGCACCCCCCCCTGTTTTACACTCCCCTCTTGGACGCCCCCGATCTACATGAGGAACATTCCAGAATATAGAATACAGGCTGTTTTGTTTTAGGTTCCAGCGGCGACAACCCGGGTTATCGGGGTTCCCCCCCCCTTCCACAGGAGAACCTGACCTTGCCGGCTGTGCAGGTCTTGGGTGGGGTGGCGCGGGCACGTGCAGGGCTGCCCACAGCGCGAAGGTTAGGTTATCGGCCGGCCGCCTCCTCCCCCCCCACCCCACTGATAACCCGGGTTATCGTCGATAAAAAAACACGGTCTCCTAGGTCGGGCATGTCCCTCTACAGGAGGGATGTTCCAGAATAGCGTCAAAAATAGTATGGTAACGATGGTTCCTGCTCTTTTGACTCTTTTTGGGCACTTGTCGCCTCTTCTTATTTCCAGAAGCCCCCTGTAGGAGGACATGCCCGACCGAAGGGTAGAACCGACCTGCACTTGAGCGGTGGCGGGCCCCATCCGCGACTCACGGCCGAGACAGAATTGCAGCAAGGAGGTGCGCAGCAACCAATAAAGCGCCGTTCTCGAATTGCTGTGGTTGCTCCTCTTCAAGCAGTGGCGAATCGTCGTGGCTGTCTCGTAGGCCCACCAACGAATGTTCTAAGAATCTCTTGTGGTTTGCACGAATTGTTCTTAGAACTTTTCGGGTGGAGACTGTCTTGTTTTAGCACGTCGGCTTTTTTATTTTCTCCGAACATTATTTGCGTTCTGAGAGCATTCTCTGGTTCTAAGAAGAACACTACGTGATAGGCGTACGGGAATGCCAGGGTGGTCGCTCCCTTCTCAACCTCTGCGCATCCCATGCACCCTCTTCGTCATGTGTCGCACATGGTGGCGCCCAAGCCGTTTTGGCCCAGGTGTGCTTCGCGCTCGGGCGTCCTGTAGGGAGCTCGTGACACCGCGCGCCCTCCCCTTCGAACAACGACAGCCTTTCACCGACAGCGTTCCCGGCCAGGCCAATGTCGGTGTACAGTGGAGACCCATGCCAAGAAACGCCCTGCTTGCCTCTGGGGTGCCCTGGGTTTCTTGGATTTCGAGGGTTTTGCGATGGAGAGCGTGACGCTCCCACACCAAAACATCCATGGACGTCCTGGGGGCGCAGGGCTGGGTTTCTCGTGGAAGGTTTCTTGTGGACAGGCCTCCACTGTACACGCCGTCCTGGCCCGGCGAGGCGCACGCCTCCGCCAGTCCTGGGCCCAGCAGTGGCCCCCAGCCCGGGTCGGTGCCGGTGCATCGCTGCCGTCGCCCCAGCTCGCTGCATTGCCGTGGGCGATGTCGCTGGCCTTCGTCGCCGCCCCTCCTCGGAGGCCTAGAGCTTGACGCCAAGACCAATATCGGCGGTGTGCCTCTACCGAGGGAAGATGCTCCCAATCTCGGCGATGGTGGTAATTGTCGGGCTTCTAGGTGGCCGACGTATTACCACCGATACCGAAACCTAGGATCATCTTCCCCCTGTGGAGGCAACCCCCTGTGTTGGTGTTGGTGCCCTTTTCCAGGCCTCCAACCTCCCGCCGTTGCGCCCGAGGCCGCGCCACGCCTGCGGGCTGGCCGGCCTGCTCCCGAGGCGGGCCCATTCGCGGGCGTGTCGGCCACGGTGGGGCTGGGCGCGGCGGCCATCGCCGTGGGCTCCTCCGCCGTCACGCGCCGCGCTGCCGCGGTGAAGAAGAAGGGCGTCAAGGTCGTCCAGCAGCTGGACGGCAAGGAGATCCCGTGGAACCTGTTCATGCCGAAGGCGCCGTACAAGGGTACCGTGATCAAGAACGACGTGCAGGCACACACCATCACCAAGCCCAACAGCAGCTCCCCCGGCGACGCCAATTGGGAGACGACGCACGTGACCTTCGACCACGGTGGCAAGGTGCCGTACGTGGAGGGACAGTCCATCGGCGTCATCGCCCCTGGCCCCGACAAAAAGGGCGAAACCCCAGCCAAGATCCGCCTCTACTCAATCGGCTCGTCGGCGGTCGGCGACTGCCAGGACTCCAAAACGGTCTCCCTCTGCGTCAAGCGCGTCGTCGAGGTGGAAGAGGAGAAGTGGCCCCTGAAGCACTCCAACCGCGAAAAGGGCGAGGACAAGCCAGATAAGGCCGGCACCTGCTTTCCCGACGCCAAGGTCTACCGCGGCGTGTGCTCGAACCACATCTGCGACATGAGCGAGGGCGACGAGGTGCTGATCACGGGCCCGACTGGTGCCGAGATGCTCCTGCCGATTGAACAGGACTACAACATCATCATGCTCGCCACGGGCACCGGCATCGCGCCCATGCGCTCCTACATGCGCCTCCTCTTCCACGACAAGGTCGGCGCCAACCCGGACGGCACCCGCAAGTTCGAGGGCTTGGCGTGGCTCTTCCTCGGCGTCCCATACGCGAACTCGCTGCTGTACGTCGACGAGCACGACGAGTACACGAAAAAATCCAGCACGCTGACGCCACCCCCGCCGACCCCTTGATACCCAGCTATATGCGTGTGGCAAGCCCCACCACCGTGCCAGCGCAGCAGCGCAGCAGAGAGGAAAACGAATTGACCCGCTCAAGTCCAGTGTCATGTCTGAACTGGCACCGTCGTCCCTTGGCCACGCGCAGAGGGAGGGGGGGTAGGGGGAGGGGGGGAGGCCCCTTATAGAAGGAGGCTGCTTCTTAGAAGGCGCGGGCCTTGTGTATAGATGTAAGACCAGCGCCTTCGAAAAAGCAGCCTCCTGCTAAGAAGTCTTCCCCCCTCCCCCTACTCCTTTGCGCGCGCCGCCAAGAATTGGCACCATCCCCCCCCCGTTTCGAAATTGTCTTGGTAGCGTCTTGGGTGCTTACTTGAGGCCTCTCTGTGAGCCTCTTGGGGTCGTCTTGGGGCGCTCTTCTGAGGGCGGTCGGATGCCCGTTGAGAGCTTGTCGGCGGTTGTTGTGGCTGCGGCCTCCTGGGCCATATTCTGCTTCTCTCCGGCCACGCGCAAACGGGGGTATGGGGGGAGAGGGGAAGGCGCTACCGACGTGGCCGCGGTGGCGCTGAGCGCTACATGTCCACGTGGGCGCTTCAGTGCGAGTCGACGGCTTGGGCGGGCACGGTATCATGGCAACGTCGACAACGGTAGACGCGATGATTACGGTAGCGATGCTAGTGACGATGGTGACAACGACGAAAGCAGGGCCATTGACGGAGCCGATGCTGATCACGCCGGCGACGATGACGGCGCGTTCGCGTCGGAGATGAAGGTTTTGGAGGGAGTTCGACATGCCCTGGCGGCCGACGAGCGTGGCCCGCATGTTTTGGTTTGACACAGATCGCGTTCCACTAGCAAACGCGTAAGGGAGTTCGAATGATTTCGACGTGCGGGTCGAGCGGCCCGTTTGGCCGAGTTTCATGAACATGTCCCCAGCTTCTTCAAACATTCGCAGGGGCGCGAACGCAGGCAGTTGTTCGAACACTGATGTTGCAAATCCATGAGTTGTTCAAACTTTGTTCAGGACGCTCGGTTAGGACACTTCTCTGAAACCTCAGGTTTTTGAGAGATTCTGGCATGCGCGCGCGACGACACGGCTGTGTGCACTTCGCACCGTTTTTGCACATGGTTTTTGCGACACACGCGCGCAACGGCGTTCGAGCGATTCCGACATGCGCGCGCGGGACGCCCGTATGTTTTGTTGGTACAAACCAACCAATTCGTAAGAGCCTCGTCGCCAGTTTTTGTGTTGAGCGCTTTGCTTGCGGAAACAAGAGTTTTTCTGGTTTCGGAACGTTTGATTTAAATAACCCTACGGACCCCCCAGGTTCGTGGAGGATTTTGGCATGCGCGACGACGCGCACGTGCGATTTCCGTTCCATTTGTGGCAAACGGTTGTTGGTGACTATTGATGAACATATGTGCGCGCATTGCGTCGGGGGCGCCAGGAACGTCGGGGGCGCCCGGATCGCCCAGAGCGCTGGGAACGTCAGGGGCGTCAGGAACGTCGGGGGCGTCGGGAGCGCCAGGGGTGCCAAGAGCGTCAGGGGCGTCAGGGGCGTCAGGAGTGTCGGGAGGGTCAAGGGCGTCAGGGGTGTCAGGAGCGCCGGGAGCGTCAGGAGCGTCGGGGGCGTCGGGGGCGTCGGAGGCGTCGGGGGTGTCGGGGTCGTGGGGGGCGTCGGAAGCGGGAGTTTTCGCATGGTGTAATTCGGGTCTCTGGGGGTCGCCCAGGGCGGGAACCTGGGCAGACTCAGTGGACGGAAGTTAAGCACAGATCGTTCTATCCAGTCCCAGCCGTTTTATCCAGTTCAAGGGCACCCATACATTGCCATCATCATGGCGCCCGGCACGCTTAGCCCATGGCACCCATATACACGTTCGCCTCATCATCATCATCCTCATCATCATCATCATCATCATCATCATCAGCATCATCGTCATCATCATCACCATCATCACCACCACAGACAGCATCATCACAATCATCCGCATCACCATTTGCATCAGCAGTTATCGTCATCAGCATCATCATCAACATCATCATCATCATCATCATCAACATCATCTACAGGGCAACCATCTATCACGGACGCGCGCCGCGTGGTGTGTTCGCACGTACATATACACATATACACATACACAAATGTAAATGTGACACAGGTAAATGTGACATATAAGTGGAATTACATAGTTCGATTTCGGCACTTTCGGGGAATATTCCTCGTCCTTGAGTGCCCAGCCAGCCCGCGAAACTCGACGGTTGTCCCCTGGGTGTCCCGCCTCGCGTATTCGACGAACGCCGGCGCCGTCCATACCGCGGCCGCCAGGCCCCCAAAGGGGCGGGTGCCCCCCTGGGTGTCCTGCCTCGCGTCCTCGACGAATAACCACATACATCAAGTACGGACTGAAGAACGAAACCTCAAGAGCACTGGACATCAAGAGCATACAACAGGACCAAACATCAGCGCATACGTCACGATCGTTCGAAACAAACAGTAGTTTTGTTTCGACCGTGTGATCCAGCTTCCAATCGGCCTCCTTCGGAAGTTTTCCCCCATGGGTCGTTTTCTACCCCCGATCGATTTCTCCAACGCCCTGGGCGCCCCCAGCACACCCCCAAAACCGAAAGGCACAAACCACGAAGAGTCAACGATCACGTCGACGACCGACGTTCAACGCCCGACGATAGACGAAGTTGAGCAAAACGAACGACGATGGAGACGCAAAATACGGCGACGGCGATGGCGGTGGCGGCGGCGGCGGCGGACGGCATGCTACCGACGATGGACGACAGACGGCGGACGTTGGCGAAGTCATGGCGGATTTTGGGAGGTTGCCTGCCCCTGACGATTATTCGTGTTTCTTCATGCTCGTCTTAGCTACAAATTACGCGCGCGATTTTTTTAATATGTTGGATTCTATGTTAATATGCAGATATCTGTAGATCGTTGTGATATAACCTATTTATATGTACACGTCTATATGCTCAAAGGGGTCGGTGTGAGACCTCTCTTGGATCGTCTTCGTACCGCTCTTGGGGCCTCTCATGCACCTCTTGGCTCCTCTTGCCGGCTCTCTTTGGGCATCTTAGCCGCTTGCGTCGTCTGCGCGGCCTCTTTGGGTCCACGTAGCCATTTTTGGACGCTCAAGCCGTATCAAGTCCACCCCTCCTCCAAACTGGCACCATCAACCACTTTGGGGAGGGGTTTGAGGGAGGGGCAGAAACTCTTCACGCCGGTCACTTCATTGGGGTTGGCAGATTCCCCGGTCAGTTCCGCGCCGACTACGCGATCTCGCGGGAGCAGAAGGACGCTGCGGGCCAGAGGATGTACATCCAGACGAGGATGGCCGAGTACGCGGAGGACTGGCAGCGCGCAGAAGTGGGGGCGCGAGGGGTCGGCCTTCTCAGAAGCCCCGGAGGGCTTCTCGGGAGGCACGGGGCTTCTCCAAAGCCCTCCCCAGCTTCAGGCAAGCCTTCTTGGAAGCTTTGTGGCCATTTTCGGGCGGCCCCTGCCTTCTAAGACTATGTCGGGCCTGTCCCTCTACAGGAGGAATATTAAATAGTAAAACAAATAGTTGGAGAATTATGTCTTGACCATTATTGATTACTTTTGACGAGTGTTGAGCATGCTTCGACTATGTTTGTTTCGTCCAGAGTCCGCCTGTAAGAGGACACGCCCGACCTAGTTCTAGGACGCCCCCCCGCCTCTTGGGCAGGCCGCTCCCCTCGCGCCACCCCCGCGTGCGCGCCGCCGGGAGGAGCTCTGGGAGCTGATGCAGTCTCCGAAGACCCACATCTACATGTGCGGCCTGAAGGGCATGGAGGCCGGCATGGAGGATCGGGGGCTGCTAAACCAGGGGCAACGATGGGGGGGGGGGATGGGTATAGGGGGGGCTGCGTCGACCCCGGGTCGCCCACTGATCGCCGGTGGTTGGGTGCCCGATAGCCCCAGCCTGCCCAGGAACGTGCGGACTCAGTTTCGGGGGCCTATCGCCGATCTATCGGCGGTACTTCGACGATTCCATGTCGATGCGTCCCCCCCCTGTGCCAGACCCTCCCCTATCGTCGCCCCTCACTAGAGGTGCCCCCTGGCCCAAGGTGTCCCGCGCTGCTCGCTCCATGTGGGAGGGCCTGGGGCCCTCTGGGCCTCGAGAGGGGGTGCTCTAGAGGCCGTGGGAGCCTCCCTGGGAGTCCTGGGAGCACCTTGGGCCTCTGGAAATCCTGGGCGCGTCTGGCAGCACCCGGGCCTGGGCACGTCTGGCAACCCCTGGGAATCCTGGGAGCCTGCCTGGAAATCCTGGAAAACCTGGGAGCCTCCCTGGAAATCCTGGGCACGTCTGGCAGCACTCGAGAGGAGTGCTTCGCGCCTCTCGCGACGAAGGCAGGCTTCGACTGGAAGGACTTTGCGAAGGAGATGAAGAAGGCTCACCGCTACCACGTGGAGGTGTACTGAGCCAGAGGCGCAGCTGTAAGTCGGGCCTGTCACTCTACAGGGGGAAAATCCCAAAATAGTCAAAACAAATCATATGGGGACGATGTTTCGACAATTGTTGACAATTCTTGAATACTTCTTGACTAAATTCCATTTTTCGTCCAAAATCTGTCTGTGGGGGGACAGGCCCGATCTAAGCGCAGTTCGAAGGAGAAACAACGGCACAAACAGAAACATACACTTTTGGCGGTCCGCGCGGAGTTCTTGGACCTGCGCTAGGCCCCCCTTGGCGCGCTCCAGGAAGGGGGCTCCAGCTCAGATCCAAGAAGTCCGCGCGGACCGCCAAAAGTTCGTGTGTTTACCGTTTCTTTGTTTCTCTAGCAACGGTAGGGTCCGGACGACTCGCTCGAGTCCGTTCAGCGGCGTGGCCATGGGCGCGTCGCGCCGAGCTTGCGCAACCCAGCGCTCGCTCTGCCCGCGGTGCGGCTTCAGCGGCAGAGTCTGCTGGTTTCTCCTAGATCGGCTTGCCGTGCCACGAGCTCGCGGTGTCTCGGCCGGCATGCACCAGTCGTCAAAGTGTTTGCATTTTCAGCGCCCCGCCAGCGCTCCAATAATCTGTCGCGTCAAGCCTTTCTCCCAGCGGGTCGACCTGTGAGTGGAAAAAGGGGATGTGTATGCATGTGTGTGTGTGTGTGTGTGTGTGTGTGTGTGTGTGTGTGTGTGTGTGTGTGCGTGCGTGCGTGCGTGCGTGCGTGCGTGCGTGCGTGCGTGCGTGCGTGCGTGCGCGCGCGCGCGCGCGTGCGTGCGTGCGTGCGCGCGCGCGCGCGTGTGTGTGTGTGTGTGTGTGTGTGTGTGTGCGCGCGCGTCAGCCGCGCCCCTACCCCCGCAGCCATCCTGGCCCAAGCGCGCCAGGACACTGCCTGCCGAGGCTGCTCTTCCTCGTCGCCGCCCTGCCAGCCCGCCCTCGCGCGCCCCTCGGACCCCCAGGCGGTTTGCGCCGTGGCACGGCGCTGCGCCTTGGGCGCTCTTCGGCTGCTGCGGGCGAGTCTGCGCGACGGAGCCCCCGGGGCTGCCCGCTTCGACACGGGCGCCCCCTCCCTTTGTGATGGGCCTGTTTTCCACCACCACCACCACCAGAAGTTGGACGGGGAGGGGGTCCTCCTCCTCCCCCTCCTCTATCTCCTCCTCTTCCTCCTCCTCCTCCCCCTCCTCTCCTCCGCCTCCGCTCCTCCTCCGCCTCCTCTCCTCCTCCGCTTCCTCCTCCTCTTCCTCCTCCTCCTCCTCCTCCTCCTCCTCCTCCTCCTCCTCCTCCTCCCCCTCCCCCTCCCCCTCCAACTTAGGGCTGTCGTGGAAAACAGGCCCCTCCCTTTGTTCGGAGAACGCTGGCTGACCACCTCGCCTGCTCCTGGCCTGGGCCGGCCCGGGCGGGGAGCGGTGTCTACGCCGCCCTGGCCAAGCCAGGCATGCGGCATATTCGTACACAGATGCTTGGGCGCCCAGGATGGGCCTGCCACTCCCGGCGGAGCCTCAGGTCGGTCTGCCGTGGGCCACGTCTTCGCTGGGACCCAAGCGGCGGACCCTGTGCGGCGGGGGAGCCCACGGCATGCCAAGCGCGCGGCATGCCTGGTGCCAGAGCTTCCTGAACAGCACCTGGCTGATCCCGAGCAGCTTCTCGCCCTGGCCTGCCCAGAAGCCGATGCTGTGGTGGTCAGCTGACGTTTTCCACCACCACCACAAATTGGAGGGGGGAAGGAGGTGGAGGATGAAGAGGAGGAGGAGGAGGAGGAGGAAGGAGAGGGGGAGGAGGACCCCCTCCCCCTTCTGCTCCTGGTGGTGGCGGTGGAAGCCAAGTCCACCATACACCGATGCTTGGCCCAGGAGGGGCCCAGGCCAGAGTCGGTGTGGTGGTCAGCGGACGTCCCCCGACTCGTTGCTTTTTCTCTGGCCTCTGGAGAGAGCGACGGGGGCCAGGGCGGACGGCGGAGGGAGGCGGGAAGCTGCGTCGGACGGCGACCCTGCCCCACCTGTGGCCTCCTCCCAGAGATGGCCGCACGCCGGAGACATGCAGACGCTCGTGCCGCCGCGGATTGTCGGCCATGGAGAACCCGAACTGCGGGTGTTCCATCCGCTCGTGCTTGCTCATGAGAAGGCCTACGGGTGGACGCTCGCTCGCTCGCTCGCTCGGCCGTGCATCCGGTGGGGCGCGTTGGCAAACTCTGGTTGCAACGTTGGCAACCGAACGGAAAACATGAACTGAAAGTGTACAATGAGTGCTGCAAAACCTACTGGTGGACGCGTACATTAACACACATCTGCGGATAACTATGCGTCGTGTTTTTCGAAGTGTGTGTGTGTGTGTGTGTGTGTTCGTTTATGTGTGAAGGTATGTGTGTGTGTTAGTGTGTGTGTGCGCGCGTGTGTGCGTTCGCAAGCGCATCAATACGATTCCCTGAGTTGGGGTATGCAAGCTGGGATACGCACCTTGGTGTATGCATGCAGAAATAAGTTGAGCACTATAGCTTGCGCAGTCTGAGCTAGGCAATCTAAGACATGCAATATCAGCACCATGCAGAAACGTAATACAGTGAAACTCGACAGGAGGGAAGGCTCGAACTGGAACTGCACCTGGAATTGCAGCTGCAGCTGGACTGAAGGTGGGGCTGAAGTCGGGAATTGGAATTGGAGCTGGAGCTGGGCCAGAGCTGGAGCTGGAGCTGGGGAAGGCGCTGGGCTAGATCTGGAGCTGCAGCTGAGCTGGAGCTGGGGCCCGTGCATGAGCTCGAGCTGGATTTGGGGCTGTAGCCTTGTTTGGGGCTGGGGCTGGAGCCTGAGCTTGAGCTGGACTTCGGGCTGGAGCTGGAGCTCGGGCGAGCGGGGCTGGGGCTGGCGCTGGCAATGGAGCCTAGTTTGGAGAAGGAGGGCTGGGCTGGACCCAGTCTGGTGCTGGAGCTGGCCCTGGGCTGGATCTGGAGCTCGAGCTCGAGCCAGATCTGGAGCTGGGGGCTGGGGCTGGGGCGGGGGTCGGAGCTGGAGTTACGTCGGGCATAAATAGTTTAAAAACATATTCTGGGGACGATGTTTCTATGTTTTGTTGTTTTTTTTGTATTTCTTATCTTTCCTTCAAAATCTGCCTCTAGGATGACATGCCCGACCTAAAGCTGGAGCTGGAGCGAGGCTGGAGCCGGAGCTCGGTCTGGAGCTCGGGCGCGGGTTGGGGATGGGGCCGGGTCCAGGACTGGCGCCGCAGCTGTGCTTGGAGCAGGGCCCGGAGCCGAGGCCGAGGCCGGAGCTGGGCCCGAGGCGGAGCTGCAGCTGGAGCTACAGCTCAGGCTGGAAGTCTCACCACCCACCAAACCACCCCAACCCAACCCGAAGGCCTCAATTTGCCCCTCCACTTCCAGTGGAGGGGGGGTCGGGGAACACCGACAAGCTCACATCTGGAACCCGTTACCCCCCCCCAACCCGAAATTCGGGTTTTCGGGTTGGGTTGGGGTGGTCTGGTGGGTAGTCAGAGTCAGCTGGGCTGGAACTGGATGTGGAGCTGGGGCCGCAGCTGGGAGTTGTGGCTGGAGGTGGTCTGGAGGTGGGGCTGACGCTGGGCCACCGGGCCTGGAGTTGGAGCTGGAGTTGGGGCCTGAGGCTGGAGTTCGAGCTGGGGCTGCATCTGGGCTGGGCTGGGCTGGAGCTGGGGCTCGAGCTGGAGCTGGAGCTCGGCTAGAGGTGGGGTCGGAGGTGGATCTGGCCTGGAGCTGGGGTTGGGGTCGGGGCGGGGGCTGGAGCTGGGGCTTGAGTTTGGCCTCGAGCTTGAGCGGATCTGGAGCTTGGTCTGGAGCTGGGGCTGGAGCTTTGAAGCTGGGTGTGTCTGGAGCTGCGGCTGGTGCTGGTGTTTGTGCTGGGCTGGAGCTGGAGCTGGAGGGAGAGCTGGGCTGGTTCCCGAGCTGCGGCATGAGAGCAGGAAGAGCATCACGCGTTGGATGTGCGGCCCCATGCGTTCAAACTCAGGCCCGGGAGCGCAGTTTTGGCAGCACGAGGAGCACCACTTGGCTCCAGATGTTTAACCTCAGTACCAGAAGTCGACCTCTGACAACATCAAGACTGGCTTCTGTTTGGGATTGCACCCAGATGATCGTACTCAGGCCCAGAAGTGGAGCTCTGGTAGCGCGATGTTTGCGACCGCAAAGGTTGCGCCCGGATGGTCAACGCCAGGCAAGGTTGTGGAGTCTTGGGAACACGAAGATCCAGACGGCTGGAAGGATTATGCCCAGATGATCGGGCTCAGGCCCGTGAGTGGAGTTATGGCGGTGCCAAGTCTGAGGCTGGGATTTGCCTGCCTATCTCCGCCGCCTGGGAAACCGATCTTCTTGGACTTGTGGAGGTGGTGGATATGAACATGGTTCGGTCCTCTGGGGCCCACAAGGGCGCCCTCGAGGGCGCGAAGTTATTCGCGCTTCGCGGTTCGGCTCCGATTCCTCCTCATCCTCCTTTTCTCCCCTGGGAGGCAGCGCGAGAGCGCTAAGTTATTCGCACTTCGCGCTTCGCGCAGCGCGAAGCGCGAAGTTGGGTGCCCTTGTCCACCGCCTCCTGGGGACCCAGGTTACCAGTTTCCAAGGCGGTGGGTAGGTATTAAATCAGCGCCTCGCACCAGAAGTCTGGATTCACCACCTGCCAGGCCCCAGCCGCAGGCATACAGTGAGAAAGAACCCTCCAGGGCAGGCGTAGTTAGAAACAAATAAAAAAAAAACGCCCTGGCGGTCCCGCCCCGCGCCCCCCACCCACTGAAGTCCAGGGCCGCACCAGACTCACACTTCGGAGCGCGACGAATACGACGACGCCGCTGGATTTCAAAACGACCCTGCAATCAACTCGCGGCCTTAGGCTCAGAAGGGGCCCTCTGGTTATCAGGCCGTTTCTTTGATCTAGGTCAGGGCGCCTCTTCTTCGCCGAGGCTCGCCGTGGCAAGCAAGGGCATTTTCGTTCCTCATTCGGCGTTCTTTAGGTTAGCACGATCGCTGTACTCGGCG